GGATTTTTTTGGGAAAATCTTTAAAAACGCATACCTTTTTCCAGAAAAAATATCTCGCCACGCGATGTATTGAAATGCATTTACAGTTATGTCGCGAAATGCTTTGAAATACATTTCGCGACGCTCATGCATTGAATTTCGAGGGCGCGGAAATGCATTTCAATACATATTTTCGTTACATGAATAACCCCACTAGTTTAGTTTATGTTAAACCCTCTTTGCGTCTTCTATTTGGCAACGTAACTTATGAATACTCATCTCAAAATGTACAATATTGAATTTCAAGAATGCCAAGAGAATTTCCGTAGTAGTAGTAGTAGTAACATCCTTGATGACAACTGATATCGGAATTTCAAAAGAGCTCTTTATAGCGGTTAGTCACACCAGAGCTCGAATTTCTTCTCTGCCTATTTTTTCAGGTTTCCCTCGAGTCAGCAGCCACGTGTGGATTCAATCATCGTTTCGACTAACCTATAGAATTCTACGAGAGCTGTTTATTCCATAGTTGCAAAAGGCCGGGCCGGGCCGGTAGACGAATTTTCTCGGCCCGGCCCGACCCCGGGCCGGCCCGCCTACCACTGTTGAAAAATTTCTAATGAAAAGTTGGATAATTTTTTTGAATAAAAAAAGAAAAAAGGTTACATTTAGTCCGGGTCATTTAGTCCGGTCCGGGTCGGTACTTCATCGGCCCGGCCCGAGATTTTGCAACTATGGTTTATTCTAGCAGAATCCGATATTCCACCAGTGTTCGCATCTATATGGAACTTAAGTCATGCTTTCATTTTTTCGTAGAGTTCGGAGAACATTTTTCGATTTGATACTATTTACGATACAAGAATGAAAGCGAGATTTTTACTTCCAAATTACCGTTTTGTTTTTTTTTCGTCTGTCGTACATCTTTCTAAATATATTCTTTATGCCGCGTACTTTTTCGAGCATCTCCTGATTGATTTTGCTGTTGCTGCTGTTGAGGTGGCGGAGTGGCAGTCGTAGTAGACGTCTGAGAATATTATCGTAAGAAAGTTTGATTCTGCTTTCGGGTACCTGGGTAACAGCTGATGATAATCCACGGCGACCAACCAGTCGTAAACCGTTCCTACCAAACCCGAGCATCTAAAGAGTAGAACGTTTCTATCGAAAGTTTCAAAGTCTTTTTCTGGAGATAAGTAGCGAAAGAACGCAACCGACAAGTAAAAAATTACACCAGATTCTTGATTTCAAAAAAAATAGTTTCATTCGAATACTTCGGTTATAATTACAAAAA